TAAAGGCCAAACTAATTCTTCTTTTAATCTTTGTATTCATTAAGTTTTTCTTACATGGAGCCTGGATTGTTTTTGGCAGAATAAAAATCTGAGTTTGCACATGAACTAGTCTGGCTGGCATCCACCATTATGGTCTTTTCTACTCCAGGAGTTGAGCTCTTCTTGTAAATCACACATCTTTTGATCTCTGGGCTATGAGTTTTTCCTTATCTTTAAAAAATTAAGCAGAAATCATATCTATCAATGTTGCTCCCATTACATTTGCAAGAGAAACCACATTCCTACTTTCACAAAGGACCCTGGGAAATGTAAAGAAAAACATACTCAACTTAATCAGTGTTATTACAAAAGTCAGGAGAAAGGAGTTAGGTAGAAAGGTGGCCCTGACTTACACAAAGTTTGGTATTAGCTCTAAGTTATTTAGATGTAGATTTCCAAGGGAAGTAATCCAAAATCTGAGTGTTGTTTTATCCTGTTTCAAAGTTCAGCATTCTTGGTTGCAACACTGGCTTCCTCATCAGATCAATATGTTGTGTTCTTCCGACCTCTGCCCCACCTCCCAAATAAACAGGGACAGGGTGAGTGTGGCAGTAACTACAAATCAGAATGAAGGGCATGTGTAGCACACCAAGGAGAATGACATGGAGCTAAGACCCCACTGTAGCAGGAGACGTGAGTCCATCTGCTCCTCACCCTTCTGAGAAGAGCACCGTGTCATGGTCTCTGTCGCTCTCTCATCTTGCCTTCTAGGTACACGTTGGAGAGTTGACATTCTTCTAGGACTGCTTGTGTCTGAAGATTTTTCAGGCTATGCAGATTGCTAGCTCAGCAGCATGGGTCCTGAAAACAGAAAGTCTGTCTCATCATTGATTGTATATTTATTTTTAATGTTCTTCTTAAACATGCCTATTTTCTAACTTCTATACTTCACCCATGCTTCTTCACACATTCTGGAAATTTCACAAATTCTGGAAATTTCTAGCCACTGCACCTAGTTCAGTGAACAATTTAAGTGTCTTGCATACCATCACATATTGTCACTTGTTTTCTGCCTTTGAAGTGATCGACTTTCCAGCCCACCATATTTTGTCCTTGCTGTTAGTTGATTTTCAGATCAAAATTGCATCAATTGTTTTTTGTGATATTTGTACCACTTCTGATACCATTTCCCCTAACTTTATACCAAAGGCTACCATATAAAGTAGCTAAGAAGCTGTCAGGACTGGAGAGATGTCTCAGTAGTTAAGGGTACGGGGTGCTCTTCCAGGGAACCAGAGTTCAATTACCAGCACCCACATGATGGTTTGCAATTACCTGTAACTCCATTTCCAGTGGATCTAATGCCTTCTTCTGACCTCTGTAGGCATCAGGCAGGCACACACAGAGGCAAAACACTCATATACATAAAATGAAATAAATCTAAAAAAATTTTGAAGAGTGTGTGTGTGTGTGTGTGTGTGTGTGTGTGTGTGTGTGTGTGTGTGTGTGTGTGTGTGTGTGTGTGTGTGTGGGGGGGTTACATACGTGTCTGTCTTACTTATGTACAAGTTCATGGGAGCTGCATATGAGAGCTAGAGTTTGAATTTCATTATCCTTATTTGTAGACAAATTTCTAAATGGTCTTATTAAATAAAAAAACATGGAGCCAAATATAAGGGTGAAAGCCTTAGAGATCAGGGAAATAGGAATAGCCACCAGCCAACCTTAACTCACTAACCCTGCAGCTTCCAAATGTGAGTCACTTCCTGTCTACCCATGCCTTTATTGCTTTGCTTTTCTGCCCTTTCATTGGCTCTTAGCCTAGCTACCTCACTTCCTTGTCACTGCCTATCTGTACAGACCTCCAGGTCTCTATGGTTGGTACTGGGATTAAAGGCGTGTGTCACCACGCTTGGCTCTGTTCCCTAGTGTGGTCTTGAACACACAGAGATTCTGCCTGATAAGTTAGCTGATTAAAGGCGTGTGCTACCTGACGTTGTTTACTTAAAATGGCTGGCCTTTTTCTCCCTGATCTCCAGGCAAGCTTTATTTATAAAAGCACAAATAAAATATCACCACACTCCTTGATTACTTTCCAGCATATATTTGAGGCAAAGTCTCTCTCTTGAATCCAGAGCTCAGCAATTCAGCTAGCCTAGATGGACAGCTTGCCCAGGCCATGCCCTGTCTCTGTCTGCCCTTGATGGGATTGCCACATAGACCAGGCATTCACATGGATGATAGTGATGTACACCCAGTCCCTGTGCTGGGGGGCAGGAACCTTTGTCTGCTTTTTAAGTGAAAAAGCTATTATTTCTTTTCTATCAGACTCTGTGGAAACCTTGATGCTTTTAAATCTATAACTGTTTTGTTGTTATTGGGGTTTTTTTTTTGTTGTTGTTGTTTTGTTTTGTTTTGTTTTTAAAGACAGGGTTTCTCTGTGTAGCCTTGGCTGTGCAGGAACTCTCTCTGTAGACTGGTCTCTAACTCACAGAGATCCACCTGCCTCTGCCTTCCAAGTGCTGGGATTAAAGACATGCAACACCACAACCAGCTGAATTCTCTCTTTTTTTAACATCAATTAAAAGTTTCTATCTCTCCTCAACAATTCATCCCTGTATCCCTTGTGCCAAAAATGAAACCATTAGAATGCTTTTATTCCTCTACTATAGGCAGAGTTTTGCTGTGTCCTGGTGGTTGCTCCCAAATAACCACAGGAGACTTAATATTAATTATAAATGTTTGGCCAATAGCTTAGGCTTGTCTCCAGTCAGCTCTTACAACTTAAATTAACCCGTTTCTGTTCATCTATGTGCTGTCCCGAGGCTTGTTTACCTCATCTATGAACTTTTCATGTTGCTTTATCTGTATCTGGCTCATAACTCCTCTGACTCCACCTGTCTTCTTCCCAACATTCTCTGCCCCCAAAAGACTGCCAGCTATCGGCCAATCAGGTTTTTATTAACAATGAGAACAAAACATGTTCACAGTGTACAGAAGGATTATTACACAGCACTCAACTTTCTTCCCCATCACACTTCATCCACAATTGTGGTATTTTCCTAAAGTAGGTCATAAAAATAATAAGGTTAAAAAAAAAAAAAAAAAACCTCTAGTGGGAATGTAAGACCTAGAACAATTCCTAATATCTGTCACATAGGCAGTAAGAATGAACAAATCCTACTTTTGTTATCTCATTTATCACTTCAATTAAATGATAGTTGTATATTTCTAAATTCTCACATGCTGTGTTATCAGTGAGATGTAGAAGAGTGACAGTCTCTAGCATTTTCTTAATGTCATTTCAGACTTTTAATTTTTAATTTATTTTTAATAAAGTAAATTAGAGTTTATTAAGAAAATATTTTACTATAGACTTAAATACAAGCAACAAGAGAAGAGGAGAGAGATATGTAAGAGACAGTAGCATATACACTAGATTGAGCAGAGGCCTCTACAAAGGAAGAAAAGCTAAGACCCTTCATATGAAAACCAAATATGCTTCATCAGTTAGCAGCAACCGTTTACTCACATATGGCAGGGCTGTTTCACTTCCAACAGTTGGTGGGGTGCTTTCTATGCTGTTCCAAAAGGGATTTAGAGAGTTTTTGTTTGTTTCATTTCCTATTGGTTCTATTACTCCATCCCCTCTCTTCTCTCCTCTCCTCCTTTCTCATCTCCTCCCTCCCTCCCCCTTCTTCTTCGTCTTCTACTTCCTCTTTTTCTCTCCCCACCTCTCTCTTCCTCTTTCTTCTCTCCCCTAAATCTCCCATCTTTCCACACAAGCCGTATCTTCTGGATCCACCTGGTATGTGCCTTATTGATTTCTCCTCACTGTTGTCTTTTTCCACTATGATAACTCTTGGGCCCTGTTGCTTGATCTCTGATGCTTCCCTGAGACCTGACCTACTGCTGCTACTGTCCTTTCTGATTTTCACAGTGGCATATGTTTTCTTATCTCAGACAGGTACTTTTATGGAACTTCTATTTCTAGTAATGTCTCCCTGACATTTTCCCCCTCCCATACATTACTTTTCCCCCTCCTTTTTACTCTATTGGCTTTCAAACATTACAGAGAAAATAATTCAGAAAGCTGAGTCAGTCACCATCCTCCACAGTTGTCCTTAAATGAGTACTGGATGGTGGTACTTCATGATTTATGCTTGGTTTCTGTTCTCTTAAAATAATGGAAATTTCAGCAACTTTCTCAACTTGAGACTGCAGCTCTATCCCTCATCAGTAAATGTCATCTGAGTATACACACAGACACATGTCCCCTCATCAGTAAATGCAGCTGTCATCTGAACATGTGCGCACACACATCTTGCAAAACACTTCCTGACATACAGGGAGCCCCTGGTTACATTTTCTGTAGGTGTGCTCAGAATGACACCCCAAAGCCAGCTTCCTACTAACTCAGCCATGGCCTACCAGTTTCTCTTCTTTGTCTACACCAGTGTCTGGTTGTCAGTTTGTCCAGTCTGCATGTGAGAATTTATAAGCACATTGTGTGCATAAATAATCTTCCTTTAGAGGGTTTCCTTGGCCAAGATGACCTGGATCAGAGTTTCTCCATCAGACACAGAGAAAAGTGGAAATGTATGAGTGCTCAGCATCCACAGGCCCTTGATTCAGTCCCCACCACCCCTTCCTGATACTAGCAACAGTTACACAGTGGTGTGGAAAGAGGTTCTAACATACTACAGCTCTGCTGAGACATCTCCCACGTGTTAATGTGTTCCCCAACATTATGAAGCACTGTAGTGAAATTTTAAATTGTCTTATAATAACAATGCACTGTTTAAAGTATCACATAGTTTGGATCACTGTGAACCCGCCAACTTGTTCTAACTTTTTTTTTGTTTTTCTATTTGCCTTTACAATGCCTAAGTTCTGTAACTTCTAATTATGACTCACCTGCATGAAAGCACAGCTTAGCAAGGGTTGGACTGTCATCCAGGTAGCCTCCTGCTTAAGAGGGATTAAGGATGCTCTGTCTAAACACGTCTTCTTCTCTTCAGCAGTGAAAAATGCCTTTCTGTTCGATGAGTCATCGCCAGCCAAAAGCACGCCAAAAGTCTCAGGGGATCTGTGCAAACTGTCCAGCCTGCCTTAATTCTGCAAAAAGGGAAAAACAACCTCTGCCACTTCTCTGGATAAGCTTTTGACTGGGTGAGAGACTTAATTACTATTGAAAATGATTTCTTCAAAGTGCATCTAGGACAGTATTTTTCACTTAAATACATGAACTCTTTCTGATTGAGTGCAGTGTGACAGAAGAATGCTCCATCTAGAGAGATTCAAAAGCATAATTTTCATGAAACGTCAGATAAAAAGTGAAGCTGTTTTCAAATTCAAGA